GTGTGGGTTTTTTTTTAAGCTAATGTCTCCACGTTGATGTAGGCACTGAAAAAATTCAGCAAAATAGGAAAATAATGTTGCTATTAAAAAAAAGAAAAATACTTTCCATTATGCTACGTCCCATATGTTTTAATGATAATATGTTTCTCTGAAATCCTCTAAGAATCCGTGTCAGTATTTGAATTCCTTCAGTCACATTCTTTTTTGCTATCTTTTTATATACCTAAGGAGAAATTCAGAAATTGCGGTTTTTGTAAATATGCTGTTATGGTGACATCTTTGTCTTACTGTGTCTGCCTGACTCAAGGAATAAAACTATCAGGCATAATGTATTTATGCCATGATTTTGGCCATTGATTCTAAACAGAGAATTATGCCAGTTAAGGTAAAATGATTTTTCATTTTGCTAAGACTGAATTAATGTTTTGGTCTCCATTTGTCTTAGTAGAGGCATTTAAGTTTTGAACACTAGTAGCTGGTATCTATCAAATTTTTAGATCAGAGCTATGTCAAACCTCTGAGAAACTGAAGATTGACGTTTTATGGTGATGATTGTAGTGTGTCCCACAAAGAAGCTCCATAGGCTTTGAAAACTTACAGTTAGCTTTTAAGTTAACATAAGGATATGAAGTGCCTGTGGAGGTGTTGGATGGCCCGTGCTGCAGGAGGGCAGGTCACCGAGCCCTCCTGACTCTTTGGCCAACCCTGGGAGGCTGAAGCTCCACATTATTATGGGATGACCCAGGAGAGCAGACCTCAGCTTGCAGTGTGCAGGCAGGAGATGAGAGCAGCTCCAAGAAATCCGCTCCCCAGTGCTGCACAGCAGGACGAGACTGGGTTGGACTGGACATGTCTGGAGTCCCATCATCTCTCCAATGTGAGAGCCTGGTGGAGAGGGACCTTGGTGGTGTCTGTGTGTGGGCTAGGAGCTGAGCCTGACGGCTGTTGTCCCAGGAATATGTGCAGAAGCTCATCTTTCTCTGCTCCAAAGAGGAGAGCATTTGAGATCTGCCCCTCCTTTAAGGTGAGCTCCTTGCTCCAGTAAAGCCAGTGTAGAATTCGTTTTGGCAGAGCCAAGATTTTTCTTTTTGGGATTTACCAGCTCTCTGCACGGCAGTAATCTTGCCAGGGGACAGTTTAGCTCTAAGGAAAGCTTTTATTCTTTCACGTAATCTACAAAGACATCTGTAATTACTGCTGGTAACTAAGGCAACCCAACTTTATAGCTGATACATGCGCGCAGCAGAGCTGTGGGTTATGGGTTCTTAAAATACCTTTCTGGTGGTCCGTATTCGGCTGCGCTCCGGCAGGAGCTGTGCTGTGAGCCCGTGGGTAGCTCGAGTCGAGCCCTGCTGGTGGGTCTTGGAGAGGAGGAACGTGGTGTAAACGGGGTTGTGATTAGCTTCACTGGATTAACTGGGGACTCTCAAATCATGTGTTCTACTTAGGGACAGTGTTGACAGGCCATGCAGGGGGTGGCAGTGGGGTTGGTGCTCTCTGAATGTAAGAGCCTCTGCTTATTTTAGGAGGATCCTACTGTGTCCCTAACAAGGATGTTCATCTGGCCCAGGGAAATGAAATCATTTGTGTGTTTGCTTGGTGCATGGCCTTGAATAGCCCAGGAATAGAACAAATTGCTCCTGGCAGCTGGCTCGCGAGTCCCGCTGGTGTGGTAGGACATCAGCTGGGCAAACGTGAAGGTGCTGGGGGGAAAGTCTCTGTGGTCACAGGGTGCAGGGGCTCCAGCATGTCTGGGTGGTCTCGGCCAGTACTGTTGATCAGAGAACTCTGTTCCTCCTCTGGTTTTGTCCATTAATATAACAACAGTGTATTAAGTGTAACAATTCTTCGTGTTCTGCAGAAAAAAGCCCTCAGAAAAAGGCTATGTAATGCACTGTTTTTGTTGTCTTAAGGGTGGCTGTTGCTTTGTGACGGGATGCATTTGCTTGGAGCACTTAGGCTCGTGCATTTTTACGTTGGAAATGTGTCAGTGATCTCTGAGAGTGCGTGTGTGAGGGTGTGAAATCTTTCTCCCAGATAAAATCATCCTCCATCCATTACTGGAACACAGTTCTGTGGAAGCTGAGTCAGTTTCAAAGATGAGTTAAAGGCTCTTGGCCCTTAATTTTTCAAATGTGTTTTTTATGTGAGTCATTTGGAAAAACTTTAAATAGCATATCTTGATTTTTTTTGAAACAAGTTTTTAAGCAGACAATCTGCAGTATTTTCTTACGGTGAGCCTTTGGCTAAATGTGAAATCCACCCCTGCTAATAAAGCTGAGGATGCCTTTTAGGATGCTTTTAAAAAAGTTACTTTTCATGCTTTTTAGGAAGAACTGACTGATCTTTTTGAGAAATTCTGAAGCAAGGTTTTTGCTTTTGAAATACACAGACAAATGTTGGTAGAGTTGAGGCTTTATGAAGGTTTGTTGATCTGACATTTACTTTGGTGTTCAATGAAACTTGCCACATCCTTTGAACTGTTCTCTTGCCATCGGAAAGGTTGGAACATAAGTTTGATCTCCGGCACTGGAGTGCTAATAAATAAATCTCAGTGGTGTGCTTTTTCTTATGAAAGAAGCCCTGTGATTTTTATGTGCATCACTCGATTTTGGATCCTGCAAGGTCTGCTTTTGCTGATGACCAAAGCGGTGTCCTGCGGTGGTCCAGCTGTCCTGCCCCAGGACCGATGGGTACAGCTGTCCCTGCTGCTGCCTTTCGGTTTCACTTTCTTTTTTTTTTTTTAATTTTCTTTTTTGTTTGTTTTGTTTGCTTCCTGTACGTGTTTTCAACTTTGGAGACTGAAAGCCCTTGCACTTCCAGAGCCTCATTTTTCACTCCTTGGCTCCAGCGTGCTGCAAGGGCAGATGGAGCTGTTTGAAAAGCACGGGTTTACGCTGGGGTGATTAAAGCTGTGCTCAAACTTCACTTGCCCTAAGATTTCAACCAGGGCTTTTGATAGATACAACACTGAGATTTAGCTGAATCTGGCCGTGTGCCTGGAGCAAGGAGATTCCCTCGCTGGGATGTGCAGACTTGGGGAAGAGCCGAGTGCCGCCGCTGCTCCGTGCCCGAGAACGCCGCTGGCAGTACGTGCGGCACAGAATGAGTCCAGCCTTCTTTGGGGGCAGAAAAACTGGTTGTGTCATTGCCTGGTGCCTGTCCCTTGAATACTGAACATCTAACAAGAGGTACTCTTCTTCTGTGTGTATTTTTTTCGTTTTGTTTTTTTTTTTTTTTCAGTTAATTCAGCCATACTAAGCTAATTGGGTGATGAGTGTAAGGCAGCCTGGGAAGTTGTCTCCCTCGCTGAGACATGTGCTGAGTGATGTTGTGCTGAGCCTCGTGGCTTCACTTATGACTGAAAATATTTCACTTGCTCAGCAAAGTAAAGGAATTGGACTTGGCTGGTTTTGGGCATGAACCTTTGTCTCGGTCACAAAGCTGGAGGCCGCTCAGTATGCAGGCGTGTACTCAAGCTGCGTGCAGCTTGGCTGCTGTTCAACGTTGGGTTTCTAGAAGGAGGACAATGCAGCCCACTGAGGACAGCTGGGGGGGCGGAGAGCTTCGAGTGGTCTTGGGAGATGTGGTGCTGGTAACAGCTACCGGTCAGGAGCAGGCAACGGGGAGGGTGTAATGTTCAGCAAGGGCTTCACGCTGTCAAGGGGTTGTAAATAGTGAGTAATTGTGGTTTTTCAAAGGAAAAGTCACTGTGTGAGTATTGGTGCATATAGATACATATGTGTGTGCATACACACCTTAGCAGAGGCTGGCAGACTGTTTCGGGGAAGGATCCCTCCACACATCCCTGGCTTTGTACCCTTCTTCAGACATCATCTCCTGGTCACCGGTAGAGCCAGGATTCCAGGCTGCCCAGACCATTGGTTTAACCCGATTCAGCCTTTTTTATTGCGATACAAGCCAAACTAAGAAGGGTGGCAGGGAAGAAGGTCAAACATGAAGCTGAGGGAGGCCGTCCTTGGGAAGGAAAACTGAGAAGGTCTCCAGTCTCGTGCATGGTGGCAATGGGGTTACCTCCGGAGGTCTGCCATTCACTTGGAGTTGGTTTTGGATGTGGACAACCTTGCTCGATTTGTCTCATTTGCCTTTGGCTGCTGGCAGGTTTGAGGGGGTGAGCTGTGAATGGAAGCAGAACAGGGACCTGGCTCTAAGTGCTGCTTTTTTCATAGGTGGAAACCTTTAGCTCCAAGTGATTTCACACACTTTCAGATCAGGGAGGCAGAGATATTGACCTGATGTCAATTTTGTGAGAGAGCCAATGCTCCTAACAAAGTAATGAGGACGTGTATGTGCCTTAGGCACCTGTTGGCCTGGTTAATCACAGCACGTAACTGGGTGCATCTGGTTTGACATTACCTATACAGCTGGTGGTTCTGGTAGGAAGGTCTGGTGTAATAATTCTTTCTGTACGTTTCAGTGGCGCTAAATAGATCTATTTCTAAAATGGAAGTGGGATGTGGCCCCTCTGTAAAGCTATTGCTTTGGAAGCTCTACAGGGAGTTTAAATAGTTCTTTTCTTCTTGCCTCTGTAGAAGAAGATACAAGTCATGTATTGTATGCTTGCGTTTTTCAGACGGGACATTGAAAACTAAACTCCTCTTTCTCTGTATGGATGTTAAAGTGTCCATGGTACTCTTGTAGTTCCCAGTGCTGAAGTCTATTTCTATTCAGTTAAGCAATTATGTTCTGGCTCGAATTTCAACTTAGACTGCTTTCCTGGCCCGAAGCCTGTAAAGCTGGGCTTTGTCCTCGAGTGTTTGGCACTTTCTCCTTTTCTTCCCTGCTGACTGAAATGTGGGCTGGTTTGGCTTTCAACATCTATGCAGCAGTAGCTGCATTTTGTGATGCTCTTCCTGACTAACAAACGTGCAAGTAACTCCACGCATAATACCCTGTGCTGCAGTTTTACAATACTTTTTTTTTTTTAAATGTCATTGAATTGAACTTTCTACTCCTTTTTTGTCCCTGTTTTTAGCATTAAGCAGAGTTCGCGATCTTCTGAGGCAGCTGAAGATGAAAAGGACCAGCGCACAGTGACAGTCAACCCCTCTCACATGAGAAAGGCATTCAAGGTCATGAATGAATTACGGAGGTACACTTTTGACTTAATGGGCACCCTCTCTGGTTTAGCAGGAAAAAAAAAAATTGGAACTGAATGGCTTCTGAGAGACTTAAGAAAAAAAAAATCTGTGCCATCTTTGTCACAGCTGTTGATTGCATGTAGGATGTTAATAAACAAGGAGAAAAGACAGCTAAAATATAGCCCTTTTGTGGTAGGTTGCTCTTCCCCATCTCACACATCTCTGTCTTCCCAGCAGAAGGAAGCCAGCTATGGCTCAAAAACATTATCTGAGCAATAGCCTTCCTTTATAGATGGTAATTCATTTAGTCTTTTCCATTACTTACAGCAAATGCAGCTGTAAACTATGTTCTTAACTAAGCTAATGGTCTGAAAACCAATAATAGAACATTACAGACATTAAGACACCTACACATAATTACAGACCAAAGATTATTGGTACCAAAATACTGTTCTTAACTCTTTAACTAGCAGCATTGCTCAATCTGAGCTTAGCACTCCAAAGTAGGGGGTGAAAAAAGAAGCAACAACTCAGGAAGAATGTCAGCTCTCTACTTGCAAATTTAAAAATCCTGATATTGGTTAAAAGAGAACACCTTGGTCTCTACACAGCTGCGTGGGTACAAGGAGAATGGAGACTGAAGAAAAAAAAAAAATCAGTAAACGCAGTCTTCAAGAACTGCTGTCATGACATCAGCAATGTGGTGGCAGTGGTTAACCCGAGGTGTTTCTTGGTAATTATTATCCCATGAACCAGATAGAAGTTCAGTGAGCATTTCTCTGACTAGTTCATTTGAGTCCTTTGCCATTCAAATAGAGACTTAGAAACTCAATTTTAAAAATAATTCTTATGGAAAGTACACGTGTCATACACACAAATGTATGTGCTCCCTCACTATCCAGATGGTATGGTGAAAGCAGATAACACCCTTTACACTCTTCTTGCACGCTCAGGGTACTCAAAAGATGCTGTAATAGCCACCTCTCTTCTGTGGATTAAGTAGTTTCCCAATATACATGTTCTCTGGTCCGGAGAAGGATTAGAAAGGTCTCCTTCCATGGATGTCTGACAGCGATTCTCAGTTGCATAGGAACAGAAAATGGAAATATCCTTCCCTTGTAACAATTACATGCAGCAGAGTGTGATGTTTTGTTTTTTTTTATTGGCATCCCTCTAGTCCTTTCTTTGTACTGAAAGCAAAGGATCTGAAAATAGAGATTTGTGCAGCTGTATTCAGGAAACTATTGTGCTACTATTATTTCTTTGTTAGTTGAAGCATAGTGGGAATAGCTGGAGATGGACAATGTGTCTTAGTGCCTGTAGTTAGCTACATCTTGTGCATTACTGAGTGATAAAACATGGAAGACTGATACCTGCCCCTAAGCGTGTGTTTGGTGTTTTGCTCTTCTGGGCACTCCTTTTTCTCAGCTCCTGCTGCTGTTCTGGCATGTACAGCTCTCATGGCTATTGTGTGTGCCGTGAGCTTGCGATCCGTTAAGCTGCCAACAAGCCGTGTTAATAGTTACCTCGAATAATAGTGCCTCCGTTCAGATGCTCCCAGAAATCTCGTGCAGAGGGTCTAGAAAAATCTTGCTAAGTCTCTGGCTTATTTGCTATATGTTGCTCACTTGAAATTTTTAGCTTTCCAATGTAGATTGAATTAATTTCATGAGTGGTACTTTAACTATGTTCCAAAGAGGAACTGAACAGCGTACCTTATCTATAAGCTGAAGGAAATGGGGAAGCTCCATTAAGAGACTGCTAAAGAGCTTCCCTTACTGCCATCACCCCTTCCAAACCGGAGTGAACGTGGTGCACAGACTAACAGTTTCTCCTTACTGTAGAATCCTGTTTTCCAGCTATAACCCTCCAATTTCACAAATAGTTTTGTTCATGTATTCCAATGTATGGAGGAGGAGAGGAGATGTAGCTAGTCCGTTAGAAGCTCTGGGTGTGTTTGGTACGCAGTTTTGTAAAGCCAGAGTGCAGCGTGGTGATAACCGTTTCTGAAGAGATGGCAACATCTAGATCTACAGATGCTGATCCTTTTTCAGGCTTGACATTTGAAAAAAACACCTTTCTTTTGCATTTGTATGCTCAAACATCTTAAACCAACTTATTGGGAGGCTGAGCACTTCTAGTTGTCTGCATCTGTGAAGCCCTGTGCAAACATTAACTAATGAATCCTCAAAGGACATACGTGGGGCTGGTAGAAAAGGTCACGAGATAATGAAGTGACTTTTCCAAAGCTATACAATGAGCCAGTGGGGGAGCTCAGAAGTTTTTTGGTTTCTGTTTCGAACCTTCTTGCTTTATCCTGGTGACTCTTAATCCCAGACTAATTCACATGGTAAACAAAGTCCTCAGGCCTATGGATTAAACTCCAGTGATTGATGCCTCCTCACTGGGAGATGGCTGGGGCAGCCTCTCTGCAGGTCAGCACTGGGAGATGTTTTGCTGGTTACATTCTCTAGAGCCAAACACGTAAGGAAGCACAGAACTTCATTTTTTCACTCCACCTTTCCCCTGTGGAAAGACGAAAGTGTTGCTGATGTTCCCTTGGACAGCTATTTCTTGTCTTATAGATCTACTGGAGCTCGGCCCTAGGTAATTCCCAGACCCTTAAGCTCTTCTATGCCTTCTCCAAGCACTACTTGTTTGAGAGGTAGAAGGAGCCCCTTACCCATCCCTTCTTCGAGCAGCATGTGTGCCTAGTTTGGCTTCCAGATTTTTTTTTTTTCCTGGGGAAAGCAGATCCACTGGCAGGGCTGCAGCATCAGGAGGATTCAGGCTTTCCTTTGTAGGCAAACACTGATAGGAGCCGGTAGCTGAAGGATTAGGAGACCTTCCACTGGGATTTGGCAGGAGCTCAGACGCCTTGTCTGTAATGGTGGGTCTTCTGCTTGCTTTTTTAGGCTATACCAACGTAGCTTTTTGCCTGGCCCGGAGTTCTGAAATATTCTTTGTCTTTTCTGATGTTTTTCCAGCAAGCGGCTCCTCTGTGATGTGGTGATTGTGGCTGAAACTGTGGAGATGGAAGCCCACCGCGTGGTCCTTGCAGCCTGCAGCCCTTATTTTTGTGCAATGTTTACAGGTAACTCGTCTCGACACCGGACACTGTACTTGGGTTGAATGGGCCATTGCAAATTCAGAGGCTTCTGGCTGTGTCTGGCAGGAGCTGCAGCAGAGGCAGTAGACCTGGCCTCTGGGAAAAGGATTTCCTTGAGAGAAGTCTGGTTAGGTGTGCGGTTTGCTACAGTTGATGGATGATGCTTGTCATCCTTGACTAATTCCTTGAGGCACAGTATATGGGTCTGGGGTGGTTGTGTGGGTGTGGGGGGAGTGGGTAGCATGTGAGACACAGGAAGGTTACTATGATGTTTGATTTGCTGCTTTTTAGATTGGATTTTTTTTCCCTCCTTAGCAAGATCTTGGGTGATGCAAACACGTCATGAACATCAAGAACGTGTGCAGTGCCCTAAAAGTCCATGGTGCACATCAAAGAAGTTGCTGGCACAGAAGCTGTAGTTTCAAGGCTCAGCCCTGCCGATGCTGATTTGCAGTCATGGATGTTTAATCTCCCATGGCACTTCTGCTGCTGCCTGAAATAACACCCTTGTTCTGTCGATCCCAGTGTGTTTTTACAGCCCTGCCTTTTTGCAGGGTGCGTTGCTGCAGTCTGGTATAATTTGGTAATGGCAGATGATCAACTTCAGATCAGACCTTGCTCTGATCCCTGTAGCACGTGCCTTTTGGAGGCTGTGCCCTGGTGGGACAGCGAAAAACGAACATGCCAATCCCAAGGCAGGGGAGTGACCAACTTATTTAAGTTGTTCTAGTAAAGTTAGTCTGGTCAGGAGCTCCTTAGCTTCCTTCCTTTTCCCTGCCCTCCTTTCCAGGATAGGAACTGACTTAACCAAACACAAAGAAAATGATTGTATGCTCTAGGGATTGGTTGTTACCATCCCTCAGCTTCAGCATAAATTTGGGAGTTTTACCCCTGTTTCATGTTGCTTTGTCTGTGGTCTAGGCTTTGCTTCTTCCTTTTAAAAGCCTTGGGGTTAGACCTTGTTTTATTTGCTTTCCTGGAAGCAGAACACAACGTTTCTCAGGAAGAAGGATGTCAGTTGGGAAGCTTTTTTTCCTTCTGCAATGGAGAGGGGGAAGAAACCTCAGGTTTAACCAGATGTCTGAATGTGAGACAAGATGTGAAGTTCACCGTGATGGCTCTGTCGGCGTGGTGAGCTAAGGTGGAGAGCGTTTGTGTTTTCTGGGGCACTGGCACTGCCTGGTGGAAGTGGGTACCGGTTGTGGTGGTGAGGCAGAGGAGCAAACCCTGCTCAGAGGCAACTGTTGGCACAGGGCGCCTTGGGGAGCGCTTGTGAGTGCTTGTGATGCTCGTTCTTGGTGAGGAGTTTGAAGAAGAAAAATTATTGGAAAAACCCTCTGATCCTTAGAGGTGACCTGAGCGGGAAGGCGGTGGTGCGGGACTGCTCATGTTTCCATGCAGGAATTCTCCTGGCTGTGTAATCCCTCACACTGTGAGTTAACCAGTAATCAGCTCACCGCTGTCATGTGGCTGGCTCGGCCGCTGCCCTGGGCTGGGTGACAGCCTCGGCCGTGGCTGGTCCCCTCCCCTGACACGTCCCTGGGGTAGTGGGTCAGGCAGAGACCGGTTCTCCCTTCGCTTTTCGTCCAGCTACTCCCAAATTTCTAAGATCTGGATCGGATCATCTTCTTGCAAAGAAAAGAGTGTGTGATTTCCTTCTGGCTGAGTGGTGGTTCGCTCTGGAGGGAAGATTTTAAAATCACAGCTTGAACTTTGGTTGGGTTTGAGGGATGTTTTTTTTTGTTTGGTTTGGTTTTGTTTTCTTTTTTCTTTTCTTTGGTGTTTTTTTTCTAGGTTGGAAAAGACCTTAGAGATCATCGAGTCCAACCGTCCCTAATCCCCATTAAACCATATACTTAAGTAGATCATCCACCCTATTCTTAAACACATCCAGGGATGGGGACTCAACCACCTCCCTGGGCAGCCTATTCCAGTGGCTGACAACCCTTTCTCTTTGAAATAGCCTTGAGAAGTCCTAAAATAAACAGGCACATCCTCTCATTTGTGCCTTCCATTGCTGAAGGAGAGACAGGACCCGGAGGTTCCTAATGGAGCGTCGCTCCCTCACTGGCAGTTTAGATCATTTCGGGTGGTGGCTGGTCCTCGTTGGCACCGTTCTGCGGGGGTGATTAGTGACAGTAATTTTCATCCATTTAGAGGAAAACATACCATTTCAGAAAGGATAACTGGTACTTCAGTGATGCTGCTGGGACTGCTCCTGCGAGATACCTGGGGGAACTTCAGAAGTGCTGGAGGAGGAAGCAGCAACGCAGAAACTTCCCTTGCAAGTCTCGTGCGCGGCTTCGAAGTGCGTGGTCCGTGCGCGGGAGGCTGCGGGTTTGTTATCCACCACGCTCGTGTATTCTCCTTCAGCACGCCTCTCGACTTAGGAAACAACAAAAGCTGTGGCTGTGTGCTGGGAAGCCTCTGGAGCACAGTGTATAGGAGGCAGGGGAAGCTGCTGCACTGGGTAAACATGGCACCGCGAGCTGCTGCAGTTTAACCTGTAGTTTATCTTGTGACGAAGCAAGAGAGCAGAGGGGGATGGAGAAGGCACCGTTGGGTGCTGAGCATGATGCATGAAGAGCTTGCCTTCATGAGGAACTGACGTCTGTGAAGTCTGTCCCCTAAAGGGGGTCTGCTTGGAGCCACTCTGCCTGTTTCAGCTGCCTTCGCTGCCCCCTGCCCTGTCCCCCACATCTGCCCGGCGGTGGTGGTGCGGGGATGTGGTCTGTGTGGCACCTTGTGCCCAGCAGCCTCTCAGCAGCTCGCTGCTGTCTCAGCATCCCTTATGGATGAGAGATGGTGCTAGTGCTTGGAATTATTCTGACATTAAGGTATCAGGTAAGGCTCGAGTCTGGCTTGTGAAAGACATCTTAGGGGGTGGGTTTTGTGGGCTCTAAGGTATGGGTTTTTTTTCTGAAGGGACGTGGGATGAAGTGCCTTAACCGACCCAGCATTTGGCTGCCTGTAGCCATGCTTTAAAGGCTGCGTTTGCCTTGGCTCTGTGCTTGGAGGACGGGGCAGCTTGTTGCCCACCCCTAGTCTGTGCCAGCCCTGCCTTGGCTCACTCCTAGTGTCTTCAGGTTCTTCCTTGCTGCAGAGTGTCACAGGCACATCTGGAGCAGCACCCTCTGGCAAGTGGTGGGCACTCGATCGCGCCAGCCTGGCTGGAGGGGTCGGATCCCACCTGGCCATGGGACACAGCACATGAGGATCCTCTTTGTCACCATGAGCTGGGCTGTTACTGGAGCAGAGGCAGTGGAGACTGTGAGTGTGCAGGGCTGGCAGCTTGCGGGTGGGTGTGGAAGCCCACACAGCCTTTATTTTTGTTGCTTGTGTCACATGAATGCCGTGAAGACAGATGATGTTATCGAGTTGGTCCCTGCGAGCTTTTTCTGCGTCGATCTTGGGATGTGTGTGTCTGAGCCTCCCCTCTGCCCCAAAGGTCCCAGCAAGCGCCGCAGGGCTCCGGGCGCTCCGCTTGCCCCTTGCCACGTCGCTGGGCAGGTGGGGTTTGGCTGGGTGATCCTTACGGGCATCTCCAGCTCCACGTTGGCTGATGGGGACTGGCCTGTTCTCACAAGCCCCCTCTCATCTCTGGATTTTTTTTTTTTTTTTTTTTTGAGAGGAGGGGAGAAGTGTGTGAAGATGGTGACATTTATTTTGTCAATTAAAAAGTCCTACCTGCTTTGAAGACCTCCCAAACGTAGGTTGTTTATCCCTTTGTACTTGTACATTTGTATTCACAGGCTTCTCTGAGTAACGTTTTATTATTTAATTTTAAAAATTGAATTTGAGGCAAATATTATTTCAGTCTACATTTCCCTTGAGACATTGCTGGCTCTTCTTTTACTTATGGTCTGACCCCACTCCTGTTATTTACCTCCTTACTGGCATAAGTGGAACGTGCAAAGTTCAATTTCTGGGATCCAGATTTTGCTCAAGCTCGGACCTCCTTCAGCATCTGACTCTGTGCTGTGCACTTAATGTGCCCGGCCACATCTTGTCGCACGCTGTACATAGATGTAGGCTGTAATTACTTCTCCCATAGACTGCAGGAACTATTTTTCCTTTTAATCCCACAGCAGTACTGAGTCACCAGATTTCTTAGAGTGGCGATTATTCATGCCCAGGTTTAAGAATTGACGTTTCTTCATGGTCTCCTTTGTTTAGCTTCGGTTTTTTTTCACTTATAGTTTTCTTTCCGCTTGCGAGTTTGTTCTTTCTTTTCTGTGGTTCCTTAAGATCTTGGTGATTAAAACCTGGGTGAGGTCACCATGTGCGTGGATGCTGGAAAGGCTCTGGAGAGTCCTTTCTTCTCCTTCCCACAGCACACTTTTGCTCCTGTTACGTATGGGGTGTGGATGTATGGTGCCTGCACAGCGTTGGCCATCACAGTGATGCGGAAGGTGTGCGTAAAGCACTGGTTCGTGTATAGGCTTTTACACAGTTATGGGGTTTACCTGTATATCCATAGGGGAAATTACTGCTCTAGTTCTGTGTGTCTAGGTGTGTGGTTTTTTTTTTATTTTGAAGTTTGGAGGAAGAATACAGTTGGGATCCGAAGGCTGCGTTGTCTCTGAGGTGCGAGGCTGGGAATGTGAGAAAGATGAGAAATACGTTTTTCTGCAGAGATGCTTTTCATAAGGTGTAACTGTGTGGACAGGTTACAGCAAGGTAATTTAGGAGAGAAGCTTGCAGTGCACTGGATGGAACTGCTGGCCTGTGTGCTTGTTTTCCTCAGCAGGTTTCAGGTTCTTCCTAAAAAAAAGAGGGTAATGCTGCCTTGCTTTTGCCATAGAGTATATCACAAAGTACCTTAACTGTTGCAACTTACTCATCTACCCATATTTATATATAAACTTTTAAATGAATTTATAAAATATATGTATTTTTAAAAAGTCTTCCTAAAATTTATCCACAGTCTCTTTGAGTCTGTCCCTGTGCTGAGATGTGGTTGAGGATTGTACTGGATTGTTTTGGGTTTCTTTAGCCCCTAGATGTGTTTGAATGCAGGTGAGCTGTGGCAGGTTCTTTTCTGAGCTTGTTGCATTTATTGACTTGTTTTATTTTACACTAGTGTCTTCAAATGTTGAGGTGTTTTTTAGGTGACATTAGGAGGCTTCTGGGAATCTTGCTGGTTATCCTTCAGTGGTCAGGGATAGTGCCGGGGCAGTCTTTTAGTCAGATACCACGAGGATGTGCTGGACGTATGAGGAGCAAGGTCCTGCAAAGCAAACTATAACTGTCCTTTTGAAATGAATTTCAGGAGACATGTCTGAAAGTAAAGCCAAGAAGATTGAGATAAAAGACGTTGATGGGCAGACCCTGAGGAAGCTGATTGATTACATCTACACTGCCGAGATCGAGGTCACGGAAGAGAACGTGCAGGTAGGTCTGG